TTCTTGAGTTAATCTCATATTACTGCAGATTCATCAAGAATTTCACATGAATATCTGCATCACTCTCAGATCTCTTAAGAGAAATGAATGTAAATCTGTGAAAGAAGAAGTTTTATTCAATTATCTGAAATGCTGTGTGTGAAGAGGCTTTTCTCACACTGAGAAAATATATAATAACATTCTCAGTGCTTATTCAATCAGATTGTGATAAACCTTTCTACATTGAGACAGACACATCTGAATGAGCTATCAGAGACACTCTTCTACAGATGAATAAGAAGGACAAGCTGCATCTGATGATATATAATGATAGAAAACTATCAGGTGCTAAGCTCAATTACTCAGTGCATGAAAAGAAATTACTAGTGATTAAGTATGTACTGATGTTATGAAATAGATATATTGATAACAAGTATATAACAATGATAATCATGGATTATGAAAGTCTTATCTATCTACAATTAATGATAAAATCTTTCAAATACTTAGCATGTTAGATCTCAGAGTTTCAAGTGTATAATCTTCATATTAAATACTGAAAGAGATCAGATACTGTAATATCTGACACAATCAGTTATAGATCTGATTTCATGAGTGAGAGTTCTGTGAATTAGATACAAGAGATGTTTGTATTAAACATACTGAGAGAATGCAAGAAATCAGAATGAGTGAATATCATAATCTCTCACTTGAAGAATGACAAGATGTCAGATAACAAGTATCTCATAAGAGTAGTAGAAGAGATACTTTCAAACTTCAAGCTGAGAAAATTGAAAAATGATGTTGTGTTTTACTGTGATCTAGAATATGCAGAAGCTTTCTATCTAAAACCTTCATTTAAATATGACTTAGTAACTCACATGCATAAGGAATTCAGTCACTTAGAAAGTTCTAAACTCATGAATGTACTTGAATTAAGAGTATACTGGCCAAGCATGGCTGAGAACATTCAGACATATACTTACAAGTGCCTGAATTATCAGGTCATGAAAGAATCTAAGAAAGAGTTAGAATGTAAGAAAGTGTAACATCAGATGAAGTATATAATACAACTGTTCAAATAATGAAGAGTGAATCTCATAGACATATTATTGTGAATATTAAATAAAAATCAATGAATAATCACTGCTATTGATTACACTACTGACTTATCAGTTATGAAAGCAGTTTCAGAGAGGACAGAGAAGATGATGATAAAGTTTCTACATGATGAAATCTATATCAACTATAAAATACTGTGTGAGATTCTAACTGATAATAATATGAACCTTGTAGAAGAAGTGATGAGGCATTTTATAAGCCAGTTACAGATAAGACATTGTAGAACAATGTCATATCATCTGCAGATGAATGAAAAGATGAAATACTTGAATAAAATCTTGAGCAACATGCTGATGAAATATCTAGTGAGCAAGCCTATGAGATTATGAGATGAATATCTCAGTCAGATGCTATTAGCCACGCGAATTCAGCAGCATGCAGTCTTCAAGTGTTCATCATTCTACCTGTTGTATGAATTGCATCCGCGCATCTCAGAGAATGCTTCAGAAAAGATGAGAGAGAAAATAACAGTCACAGACACAGAATCAAGATTGAAAGAGATCAGTCATGTATATATAAAAGCTAATAAGTTACTTCTGAACTGAGCAATTCAATTGAAAAGAATACAAGACTCACTTGTTAAGAAATTGAGTCTCAAGATGAGAATATAAGTTCTTATACACAATGAGAGTTCTGAGAAGTTTCAATCTAGATGATTTGAGTTATATAAAATACTCAAATCACATTCTCTGAGAATATATGCATTGAAAGAATCAGAGAGATGAGTCTTATATAACTTAATAAATGATTCATGACTTATGAAAGTAAAGATACAAGACTCAAGCAGATTATGATTATTCACAGCACTATTATCAGTGTTGAAAAAGAAGAAGTTTACAATTGAAAAGTCTTGTGAAGTAAGAGAAATTATAGATGTTTATAAATCAGATAATCTCACTTATTCTGATCTTTTCACAATTATAAGAAAAGAATGAGAAGAAATGAAGAAATCAGATGAATATCACACTTTAATAAATAATGAGACTGTAGCTGATTGTATGATAACATGCTGCAGACAGTGAGTACAATGCAGTAAAGAGCAGTCTTAAAGCAGCAGACTTGTATATGAATCAGATTATAGAAGAAAAAGAAATTCAGAGTTGAATTTAACTGTTTATATCAGTTTAATTGCAGAGAGCACAGAGGATGAACTATCTGAAACATCTGTGAATATGTGAGATTAAATCATCTCAACCTCTGAGAATGCTCAGAGATCAGATGAGGTTAGTTTTGATGAACTATTCACTGTAGTGATCTGAGCAGGCAAAGAGAGACAGTATAATGTGTGAGACAGAATTATAAAAGATGAAAGCTGCTGAATCTAGTCACTGAATACTGTATTATATAGAGATTGTATAAGAGTAGTGACTAGCAGATAAAGAAAAAGTGTAAGAAAAGAAAAGAAATAATAAATTGATTATCAACTGTAAGAATCAGCTGTAAAAGACAAATGTTATCATACATATCTCATTCATTTTCATATATCACACATTTAATCTATTTCCAATGCCATGTCACCTGAAAAACATCAAAAACAAAGGAAATCTCAAAACTCAAGATCTGCAAGAGATTCAAGAGCTGTAAGCTGCTCTTACAATAACATCACACATGTCTCTGATTCCTCTATTACTCTGTATATGACATTAATGTCATTTATCACAAGATTGACTGGAATGCCAATATAGAAATGTGTACATATACATGTAGAAAAATCAAAGAAGAGCGCGGAACTCACAGAATCAGAAGTCAGAGCAGAGGAAGCAGAGGCAGAAGAAATGAAAGAAGAAGATGCAGAACTGAATAAATGATGATGAAAGTCATCTGAGATTAAATACTTATGACCTGATGTGCGCACAACCTTCCCTGCAGAGAAGAAAGAGAAAGTGATGAAAGAAGCTTAAGAGTGAGAGAGAGTAGTCTCAGTGATGTTATCATCTTTGATTAGAATGATCTCTGATGTCAGAGCAACTAAGAATCATTATTAGCATATAAAAATCACAAAATCAGAGATGAGAATAGTTACTGAATAAACACTCACTGATCTTAGAGTTGTACACACAATTACAACACATACAAGGCTTCTCAGAAAGAGAGAGAGAGACATAAGAGAATGCAGAAAGCAGAACACAGTATATGAACAGCTCATTCTCATAATAATATCTCAGACAAGATGTACAAGTCTCATACTTATAAGTGTAAAAGAGTATGACATCTGCATTTCTGTTTCTGAAAACACAGATATCTTTTGCCTGCATTATGAAGTTGAATGATAGATGTTAAAGAATAGACTGATACAGATCTATTATTCTGAAGATATTCATCAGAGTGAATATATCTGCAATATTGAATTTAACAGTCATGAAAAGTTTCTTAGTGTCTGTGAATGTCATGACTTTATACACAGTAAAACCTATAATAATTTTTCCTAAGAATAGAAAAAGAGTTACTTCTGAACTGAGCAATTCAATTAAAAAGATAAAAAGAAAAAGACTTACAATCTCAACACTGTTGAGAAGAGAGATGATACTCTGATATGAATAAATAATTGTCTTATTATGAATATTTAAAATGAATATAATAATCAGCATCTGTGACTGAGCTTCAGATAGTTATGTTGTACACAGTCTTTATACAATAAATTGTTCTGAGAGTCAGTAAGAAGAACAGAAGTGTACATGCTGAGAAATGTAGTTTATTAAGTCTACACAACATCTTCTTGAAATGAGAAGAGCTGATAACAAAAGCAGAGATAGTAAAACCAGAAGTAGCAGGAGTAGAGATCACAGAAACAGAGATAGAGAGAGTGAGAGAATCAGACACAGAGATAAGTGTAGAAGATTAAGAGAGAGTAGCAGAGAAAGAAGCAGTAGAAGAGACAGAGAGAGACACAGAAGACTTAATTATCTGTGTTATATATAACACAGACAATTTCTTTATAATTGCATTCTTCAAGTTCTTAATCAATGATTCAACATTGAGTTCACTATTATTAATGAATATGAATCTGTCAATGTATAAAGATTCTATATAAATAAAAACAAACATATCAGTATCTGTGTTCATATAAAATTGTGTCAGAAAACATGATCAGAAACCTGCTGAGAAGGAAATAATTAAGAGTATATAAGAAGATAAAGAAGATGTGTCATTCATGATAATATATTCTAATAATTATTAGAAGATAAACAAGTTCTGATTATGTTTCACAATGTATTACACTTACTGTTAACAAACTGCCTGATATGAGCACTATGATAATGCTTGTTGTGAGAACAGAGAGTCATTGTCAGAAATGTGTATAATGTAATAGATGAACAAATAGAAAGAGTTGAACAGAAGAAGAAGTAGAAATCTGAGATAGTAATGATATTTAATAATGATGATGATGAAGAAGATGATTGAAAAATGAAAAAAGTTAGTGAATGAGTGATATATTATAGTGAAAGTTTCTTTGTGAGAGTGTACACAGAATGCTAGCTGAATCAGAGATAGGTCACATAATTATGAAACACTAGTGGCGAGCTAATCCGCATGAAGCTAGAGCATATGACATGGTCACGTGAGTGTGACTGAATCTGGTGAAGAAGAATGTGATTCAGAAGAATGTATGACTGTTGAATAATAACACAGCTGCTTCTGAACTAGCTTATGAGTGTAAAGAGAGGGCCATAGCGGCCACTAATTAATTTAGCGTACGATATTATAATATATAAGAAGCCGGCGTACGCCTGTAATCATACGCTGGCTTAAGCAATCTTTGAATCACAGAATGATGAAGATTCTGTACTCAGTGTTCTTAATGATTATCTGATCACACTGACAGTAGACTGACCGTGTGACCGTGTCTGGAACCAGGACCAGATTTTTTGATAGTTTCATTACCAATTCAACTGATCCCATTAAACCACGAACTCGCTCGATTTTTCGAATAAGAACCCGCCGATAGATCCATCGAAAAGCCCTCGATCATACGAGCATTCTGACCCCATCGCCGACCGCATACCCTGTGTGGTGGTGGAGTTATCCAGCCAAACGTGAACCGGACGTTGTTCGAAGCTCCTGTGTGGGATTATCCCCCGTTCTCCCCTACCACACCACAACCCCGGGCCAGAGTGCCATACAAATTGTAAGGTGAAGTGACCTAGCCATATGCACCAATCTTCTCGATTTTGGAAGATCCCCGACCTGTAGTTGTGGAGATATCCGAGGAGCGACCTCCGCGAAAACCCTGTCCATCTTTGATGTTCCAAAACACCAACGCCAAGTCTCACCCTCGTACCGCCCTTCCCAATCTGGCCCATCCCCGGCAGAAAAATACAAAAAGATACCTCAGTGATAATATCAAGCACATAATCAACAGACTCTTCTGAAGTGCAATCTCCACGGTCCGCCACCAGTGTACCTAGACTTCAACACCAAGTCTCACCCCTGTACTACCCCTCTCAATCTGGCCCATCCCCAGCAGAACAATACAAAAAGATACCTCAGCAACAGCATTCAATACATAATCAGTGAACAATGAGTCAACAGCACATCAACAACTATAAAATCAGTATACTTCAAGGTCTGACTGAGCCTTTGATCTCTGCACAGTGAGATATATTAAATCTAGTTTTAATATCTCAATATTCAATAGATTCTGCAAGAGATTGAGAACAGCAACACTAGGTTTCTATTGAATTTGAGAATTAACTCTATATTGATATAATCATTGACAAAGTCTTCTATTTTGAGATATAAATAACCAGTTCCTCTACATCTCGCTGGCAATATTTATATTATTATATAGAAATAGACTTATATTCTCTATAATATCAAGACTCTGAAGAGGGAAAGTCTTGATAGAGAGTATACAGTAGTGCATATCTTAGCAGTTTCTATCTCATTCTTCTGCAGCAGTTAATGCAAAAAAAAAGATCTTAGAAATAGTTTTTTACTTCTCTTGAAAAAGTAAGGTGTTTTTCTCTGGATTTTACACAATATTCTTACAAAGAATTAAAAACAGAGTTGTTTTCTGTCATAATTTCATATTCTTTTAAGTAAGAATTACTTTTTCAGTGGCTGAAGAGCTTTCATTAATACTTAATTCTTTTTTACACTCTTTATTAACTGATTTGAGTTGCACACTTGTTGTGTGAGAAGAATTGAATGATTTAGAATAAAATTGAATAGTTTTAATCAATTTCTCTGCAAAAAATTGATTTATTTTTTGTCAGTTTTTCTCTCAAAAACTGTCATATTATCTGATTTATTATCAATTGATATCATACTTTTCCTCACTGTATCCCAAGAAAGAGATTGTAAAGATTTTATTGATTTATCTTAAAAATCAATTTTAGTTTATTAGATTCTCTTCAAAAATCTAACCTAGTTACTGAACTAGTGTGAAAAAAATCAGGTATTTTATACACAAAAGTCTTTTATTCTTCTTTTGAAACAGTCTGACCAACTTTTCAATTGAAAATAGACTTAGAAATATCTCAATTGAAACAGTCTGATCAACTTTTCATTGAGTGAAAACAATGAGTTCAAAAATACACTCAGTTGATGTGAAAAAAGATACTTTCTCAAATGCTATTCCTGACATTGAAGTTCTGAAGAGAAGAAAGAAAGAAGAAATAGAGAAATAACAAGTTCTTGAAATACAGAAACTTGAAAAAGTAAGCAAGATTCTTGAAAAGCAGTGTCTGAGTGAGATGAATAAAGAAGTTCTGTTAATTCTTCATACTCAGACTAGACAACTACAGGAGATGATCAAGTTCAAACTTGAAATCTCAAATACAGTTTAAAAAACCTTGAAAATTCCTAGTACAATCACTGACTCTTTATCTTGCTCTTCTTCTTTCTTTCTTTCTACTTCTTCTTCTTCTTTGAATCAGAAGAAAACATATGCTCAAGCAGCTGAATCTGCTGTCTCTAAACCTGCTGTCTCAAAACCTGCTCAAAATTCTGAGAAAACTGAGAAGAATACTGCTCATGTCTCTATTCATAGAAAAGTGAAAAAGAAAATGCAAAAAGAGAAAAACTTTCAAATCTCCAGAAATAGAAGACTTATTCTCAAAGTCTCAAACCAGGACATTCTGCAAAGAAACAAGCTAAACTCAAATCTCATTTTCAGAATCAGAAATGAAATTAATTAGCAGTTCTTTTCTCAGTTGATAACTGATATTGAAGTTCAAAAACCAGTTATAGCTTCAATTGAGCCATCATTCTTTGAAAACTTCATTATTCTGACTACAATGCCTGAATTCAGTGCTGAATTCCTTATTCAGAATGAGAATCTCTGAAAGTCAGCAGTAGAATCTTTGTTAAACACAATAATTCTATCTGAAAGAGATGAAAAGTGAGACAAATTCATTCTTTATGATATTTCAGTTGAAATTTTTGACTGTGAAGAAGGAATGCTACTTCTCAAAAATGAATTGAAAGAATACAACTTCATTCAACTGAGAAAGAAGCCTGTATGACTAAATTCAATTGAGTTCAGACAAAGCAGGAGAAATGTCTCTGTTCTAGTATATATAAAAACACTTGAACAGTCAAAGATCTCTGAAGTAAGAGTAGCAGATTTGAAAATGAGAGTTCATGAATACAAAGACTCAAGAATGAATCTCAAAGCTCAAACACAGTGTTCAAACTGTCAAAGATATGAATACTTTGCAATCTCATGTTTTAGAGACTCAAAATGTGCATTCTGTGCCAGAGATCACAAAACTAGTGAGCATAAATGTGAAACATGCTCAAAAAGAGGTGAAATTTGTCAATATACTCTGCTTAAGTGCTCTAATTGCAAAGAAAAACATGCATCTAGCTCAAAAGAATGTATGTTTGCTCCTAGAACTCAAAAGCACTGGAGAAAAGATGAAGCTCAAAGTCAATCTAGAACTGAAGAGAAGACTCAAGTCAGTAAACTCACAACTGCAAGCTCAAAAAGAAGAAACTCTCAATTATCTAAGTCTTCAAACTTCAATTCTCCAGCAAAATGTAAACAGAATTTGAATTCTCAAACTCCTGTTAAGATTAGAGAATTGAGAAATGACTCTGGTGATAAACTAGATATAATGCAAGCAGTTGAGATTCCTACTTTTCAGAACAGTTATAATCTACTATCTGATGATAGTGATTAGACTCTACTCTACTCTCTTTTAGTATGAATATACAACAAAAACAACAAAAAAAGTTTAAAAACTCTTCAAAAATCACATTTATTTAAAATAATGTGGATAGAAACTCAAATTGCATTTATTCTTGTCTTCAAATTGCATTTGAATAAAAAGTTGATTTTATACTGCTTCAGGAGCCGAATTTTGATACTGAGCAAAAATATGTCATTTCTCATTCAAGCTACTACTGCTTTTTACCTCAAAAGTCTGAGATAAAGTCAAGAGTAGTGATCTATGAAAGAAAGAGATCAAGATATCAATTTAATCTAAGATTTGATATCATGTCTGACCCTGATATTCTGATGAGTGATATTATAGATAAAGAAAATGAGTTTGATACTATACAGCTCATAAATATCTATAATGAAAAGTCATTGAAGAAAAATAACAATATCTGGATAATTGATAGAGGATTTCTGAACATAACTTCATCAAGAAACTCTATAATTGCAGGAGATTTCAATACACATCATCTCTGATGAAATTCAGAATGTAAGAGAGCAGTGAGAGCTGATAATCTGATTGAATGAATCTTTGAGCATTCAATAGATTTAGTTAATAAGTCTGATTAACAAACATTCTTTAGAAAAGCCATGAAACAGAAGTCTATTATAGATCTAACATTCATGTCACAAAATCTAATGAAAAGAAGACTTGTAAACTGGTTTATTGATTCAAATGAGACATCAGAATCAGGTCATGAGATTATTTAATTTAATATTGAACTGAGTGAGGAATAAATGAGTGAAAATCCTCTTCTCTCTAATCAGTTTAACTTTGATAAAGCTGATTGAAAAGCAGTTGAAGAAAGTATAAAACTGTTAAAATCTGAAAGGCAGAATGAGCTATATTGAAATTCTGGTCAAGATATCTCAAATGAAATGCTTGAGAATAGAGTGATGCTTATTACATCTATTATTCTAACAAGTGTTAGAGATAATATTTCAAGAAGAAAATCTTCTGAGTATTCAAAACCTTGATAGAATGAGAATATCTCATCTAAAAGAAAAGAATTAGCTACTGCTAGAAGAGATTGAAAGAATGATGTAATATCTGATGAAGAGTTCAAAGCTGTTAGAAATGAATATTTTTCAGATATTAAAAGAGCTAAAACAGACTGCTGAAATAAATTTCTTGAAGAAGCATAAGAGAAGAAAGTTTTTAAAGCTTTTAACTATACTAAAACAAGAAGTGTAGCAAAACTTCCAGCTCTAGAATATGAGTTTCAGAATGAATCATATACAGCAAACTCTTTTGAGAAAAAATGTCAAGCTTTCATGAGAATTCTCTTTCAGAACTCACCAGATTCAGATTTGGATTCAGAGGAGAAGAATATATCACTTCTCAACTACATTGATGAAAATGACTGAGAATGGCCTGATCTTACACAAGATGAATTAGAGTCAGCTATCTTCTCAAGTTCTGTTAAAACTGCTGCAGATCCTGATTCAATTAATCACTTGATTATTCAAAATACATATTCCTACTTAAAGAATGAATATTTTGAGCTCTTTTTCAATCTCTTGAAAAATGAATATCATTCTGAATGCTGGAGAGAAGCCACTGGAGTGATTCTTGCAAAACCTAATAGAAAAACTTCAATTTCTAAGTCATATAGAGTAATATCTCTATTGAACTGCCTAGGAAAGGTTTTAGAAAAGATAATAGCTACTCAACTATCTTTTATAAGCTCTATAGATGATTCTCTTTTATTCAGTGAACAAATGAGAGATAGAAAACAGTGTTCTGTAATTGACACTGTTCTCTCAGTTGTTCATGATATTCAAATAGCAAAGCATGAGGGTCTGGTCTCAACTGCAGTGTTTATTGATATAAAAGAAGCATTTGATCATGTTTCAAAGTCAAAGTTAATTCAGACATTGAAGATATTAAAACTGTCACTTTCTCTAATAAAATGAGTTAACTGTTTTATATCTAAAAGAATTATACAACTCTTCTTTGATGAAATGAAATAAGACAAGACTGAGATAAAAATAGAAGTATCACAGAGATCTTCAATCTCACTCATTTTATTTACAATATACACTGCATATCTATTCAAGAATAGAAATATGAGAATAGTGTGATCTCTGAGTTATATGAATGATATTGGTCTAGTCTACAGCTCAAAAACTATCAAAGAGAATTTGAAAGTAATTGAAGAAGCTGCAAAGGAAATCTTTGTTAGAGCAGAT